TTATTGTGATAACATAGTTTGTAATGCTGAGGTGAAAGTGTGGATCCAGAAGGAAGGGAAAACAACTTTCAGGGTACTCTTTGGTCTTCTTGGCTGCCGATTTTCAGTTCAAAATGAATCCGTTGCCAAGAACCAATACAACTTCCTTTTCAATGACTACTTCTGAATTTCGATAGAAATTGTTTTTTTCGTATTGAATGGCTATGCATGTATGTATATAATTGTGTTATTCAGTGACGTCTAAGATGTCAGTGTAATTTATTTTCTTAATATTTTTTATTATAGCTTATTTTGAAAATATCAAGTGGGTTTAATTTTGTTGAACTGAACTGCGGAAGATAACATTTTCATAGCGAATCAGTGAACACAATTCCCGATTCAAACTATTACTTCAAGTTATCTCACCTCCTCCCTGAATATTTGATGGCGTCATGCATGTAATGGCGGTAAAAGTAGAGATGGTGACGTCACACTTCTGTCCACAAATAGTGACGTCAGTTCCGCCTTCAGGATCGAAACCTCTTCCACGAACGGTTACTTCAACTCCGCCAAAGCTACCTGTATCATAGAGAATTTAAACGAATGAACAATATATGTTTCTCTTCCTTTCTTCTCGTTTCAACAGTTTTTCTTCTTTCTGTTCTTCTTTTGAAGATGCGACGCTATGATGCAAATTTAAGTCTTGCCATTTACTGCAATACTTAGGGATGCATGTGAATGGTCACTTAGAACAATATACGTTCAATCCATCCTTCAATTAAAGAGAAAATCCAACTAACCCTGCTCAGGCGAGATGCCAGTGACGACGAGGTCAAAGGTTATCTTTAGGTCACTATTGGAGCTTCCGTAGACCGGGTCACGCACCTGCACAAGGTGTGATCCTCCGCCAATCTGAGGATACTGTTGGGAAGGGATTGGGAGGCGTCTTTTAAGAAAATGGAAAATGGTAGATAAAAAGGGGAGGAGGGACGAAGGGAAAAGGAAGAGGAAGGGGAAATGAAAGAGAAAAAGAGAAAGAGAGAGAGGGGGGGAAGGGAGAGAGATCAGAAATGAAAGAGGGAATATATCAGAATAAAACAATCCAATAAATCCGTGAACATGTAAATGCACAAACATGAAGGCAGGAAAGACCCCGAAGACAATAAACAAGTAACTAAATCAAATAATCTGACACAATAGCTTACGCGACAGGTGATGTAGTTGTCATCGTAGCTGGTAACAGGACATGTCACGCCCCCAACTAAGACTTCGGGGGCATCGCCGGAAGGAGAAAGACCCTCTCCATCCACACGCAAGGTCCTCTTCTGCAGTCTGAAGAAGGCCACGAAGGAGAGAGGTGAGATCCGTGGAAAGAGAGGGTATTGGGCGGAAGAAGGGAGGAAGAGAGAGAGGAAGGAAGGAGGGAGGGAGAGAGAAAGGAAGGAAGGAAGGAGGGAGGGAGGGAGAGAGAGAGAGAGGAAGGAAGGAGGGAGGGAGAGAGAGAGGAAGGAAGGAAGGAGGAAGATAGAGAGGAAGGAAGGAGGGAGGGAGAGAGAGAGGAAGGAAGAAAGGAGGAAGAGAGAGAGGAAGGAAGGAGGGAGGGAGAGAGAGAGGACGGAAGGAGGGAGGGAGAGAGAGGAAGGAAGGAGGAAGGGAGAGAGAGAGGAAGGAAGGAGGGAGGGAGAGAGAGAGGAAGGAAGGAGGGAGGGAGAGAGAGAGGAAGGAAGGAGGGAGAGAGAGAGAGAGGAAGGGAGGAGGGAGGGAGAGAGAGAGGAAGGAAGAAGGGAGGAAGAGGAGAGGAAGGAAGGAGGGAGGGAGAGAGAGAGGAAGGAAGGAGGGAGGGAGAGAGAGAGGAAGGAAGGAGGGAGGGAGAGAGAGAGGAAGGAAGGAGGGAGGGAGAGGAGAGGAAGGAAGGAGGGAGGGAGAGAGAGAGGAAGGAAGGAGGGAGGGAGAGAGAGAGGAGGAAGGAAGGAGGGAGGGAGAGAGAGAGGAAGGAAGCAGGGAGGAAGAGAGAGAGGAAGGAAGGAGGGAGGGAGAGAGAGAGGAAGGAAGGAGGGAGGGAGAGTGGCTGAGGGAATGAAGTGTAGGTGAGGGAGGAAGGGAAGGAGATAGGAATAGCGGAAGGAGGGAGGAAGAGTGGCTGAGGAAATGGGGTGGAAGAAGAGAGGAGGGAGGAAAGGAGGAGATTGGCTGAGGGAATGAGGTAGAAGAAGGGAGGAGGAAAGGGAAGTAGGAAGGAGAGAGGGAAGGTAGAAGGAAAGGAGAGTGGCTGAAGGAATAGGTGAAAGAAGGAAGGAAAGGAGGGAAAGAGGGAAGGAAGGAAGGAGAGAGGGTGAGAGAGGGCGTGCATATGTGTGTATGTGCACATTTGTATTCAGTCTGCATATAAGCATGTACATTGACATTACGCACATTACCGGACAAGCAGAACTCACTTGACACGACGAAGGACCGGAGTCTTAGCGACAGTATAGGCGTATCTCGACGCCGCACGAGCATCCATACCTGCCGAAGTAACCACGACATCGGTGAGCCCTTCCGAGTGCGCAGGCGTGTGGCAAGTCAGCGACGTCACCGAGTGGCTCTCCAAGGGGCACGCGACGCCACCAACCGTCACAGCCACGTCCCCCGGCGAGAAGCCTGCGCCCGTGATGGTCAGGAGGGACTCTCCGTGTACGCTGCCCTGCTCCGGGGTCAAGCTGTCTACAAGGGGCACGAATGTGACAAGGGCGGCGTCCTCGTGAGTCAAGGCATTGCCAACGCCCTCCACGCCGACGGACACTTCGTAACGGCCAGCTGCGACGTGGCTCGTATCGCAGACGATCGATGTATCAGACAAAAGGATAATTTTGCACATCAGAGAATGGACTTCTACCTTCGTCTGCCGTTTGATTCGCGATGTCCTTTCTCCTCTCTTCACACTGACGCTCCCTGCCACCCTCCACGCCCCTCGTGCTATGTTCTCCTCGAAGGACGCTGTGTGTGTCCCTGTGACCGACCTCCAGAAATCGCTGGACGATTCGAAGTCAGCGCCGAAGAGCTCGGACACGTCGTCGGAGCCGAGGCCCTCTTCCTCCGTTGCCATCGCCTCGAGGCTCCTCCTCCGTCTGGCCGCCGAGATCCTTGTGAGGGTGACACTGACTCGGGACGACTCGGAGCCGAAATCAGAGCCGTTGATCACCAATCTGCCTCTCGACACGCCCTCCCTTCGGACAGATGGCGTTGCAGATTCCGCGAAGGAGAATGTGTTTGAGTTTTCGCTCAGGGCTGGCACCTGGATGGAAATATCGGTCAAGGTAGATGGTTATCATATTATCTCGAGTGACAAATGGATATTTAGACTACCATAGTATCAACACGGAAGAGTGTTTTACCATTCAGTGAAGACTATCAAACCTTAAGAACAAAGTACAGATTTTCCCATTTAATAGACACCATGAAACTACAAAAGCTTTGGCCAACTACATTATTGTTACGCGGATATTCGTTTACCTCCCAGTTAAAACACCAAAATCTGATAATTCTACACCAGAGAGATTCTTACCATTCCGGAGGAGACGAAGAGGCCGAGAGTGACCGTTTCGGGAGCTGCAACGGAGTTGGAAATGCAGGTGACGACGGTGGAGGTCAGGCTCACCACTTGACATGGGCTCTGACCTAGTTCGACCTTCACCACGGAGTCGAGAGCCTTTAAACCCGTGCCTGAAAATGGCACAGAATGGTGCATTCTTATTTATGATCCAGTAGTGCAGAAAACTAACCAATACGGTAAACAATAGATTTTACTTAACATATAACACTTTTCAACACAAATTATCTCTCACCTAATCACAAAATATTTGTTGAATAAGAGGCGATTTCACAAAAAATAACTAGTCCGACATTATTAGAATAAAGAAAAACACACCTTTGATGGTTATAAGGGTTCCTCCGCCCACCGACCCTTCCCGTGGGCTTACTGAGCTGATAGACGGCATAAGAGTGAGGAGACCCCCACGCCCGCTTGTGCTAAGCGTGGCGGCGCCTCTGTAGGGGGATTTGAAGGTTAAATTTGAGTTTATTTAAATATCTCACAATTTAAATCATAAAAATAATTTATATGCCTTTGGTTTGGATAGTTTAAATGTTCGGTGTTTTTTTATCTTTCCGCATCTATCTGCAGTTATCAAAAATGATTATAACTAGTGAGAATAGTCATTTTTTGGCGCCAAAAATACGAAACAGTTCCTTTCATCTCTGTAGCGTTATCTATTCCTGTCTTTGTTTCCTCGTTTAGTTTGAGTTTTCCTTTTCCCTTTTCTCTCTCTCTCTCTCCTCATACCTGCCGGAGACGACGACGTTGATGGGTGTAGGAACGAGGGACACCATATCAGCCACATCCTGAAGGACACAGGATAAGACGTCTTCACTGGCCGCTGTGACCTCGCATAATCCCGGCCCAAGAGTCACCTTGGTCTGGCACGGCGCTGACCCGAGGTTTGACCCTTTGATGGTTAGAGTCACACCTGGTGTCACGTGATGCCCGCTGTGATGGTCAAATTTTAAGGTCAAGTTAATTATTTCATGTCGTGGTTTCATGGGTTTGGCAGTGATGAATGAATATATATGCTTATATTTCCTTTTTAATTCGTTTTATAAAAGAAAAAAGAGTTAAGAGCAAACTACAATATGTAAGGAAAAAGGACGAAGAGAAAAAATAAGGAAAAGCAGCCAACGGAGACCCACCTGAGCCCAGATCCTTCGGCGACGGCAACCGCCTTGACGACGGGGGTGAGGCACTTTCGCGTGGTAAAGACAAAGCCTGCGGCCCCGCGTGTTGGCGGAGCAGGGGTTGAGCAGCCACTCGGGGGAGGAAGAGGTCGGCCACAGTCTCCTAGATTCGTGTCCACTTCTGAAAGGATTGCGTAGATGAAGAGGCGAGTTTTTAAACACCTGTATTAAGTATGAACTCACAAAGTTGTCCAGTTGTGTAAACCTGCACACCCACACACATACAGTGTGTGTGTGTGTGTGTGTGTGTG